CCATTTTTGGTCCGTAGTCATAAATATTTCTTTGAACGACTGTTTGCCAGGCCTTGCTGAATGTGAATGAGAGGAATTCACATTCATTTAATAAAAGGGGTTTTGTCGAGACCAGGACTCTGCCTCGTGCTTTTTGGGGAAGCCTAGGTCAGAACAAATATTAGGGCCACAACCAAAAATGGATAAGGCCACCCATTTTCCTCTTTTGGGCATACTCTTCTTTCTCTCTTATTTAAGTCATCTTTTTTTCCCTTGGTTGCTGAACAGTGGAACAGATTGTTCTTGTTAGAAGTCTAAACAGAGGCCAAAAGTTGCAGGTAGCTTTAAGGTCAGAAGCTGCCCAATTCTGCCTTGAGCCATCTCTTTGCTTCATTTGCTGTTTCTGAGATTGTTTGCCTTCTGCATTGCCCATCTTTGCATCCTGTCTTTATCAGATTTGCCAACATGTCCATAAATATACTGAACTACTAAAGAAAACATCTTTTCCTGGGCTACAAGCTCAGATGTGCCTCATTTGATAGGAAGTGAATAGTAATGTATCCCACTTATTTCTGATTTAACAGATTTTCAGCAAATTGATATCAAGTTAGGAAATCTTTCCATACTTTCTCAGACGTACGTAGCCATTCTTGGTTTTTTTCAATAAGCTTAATAAATACTAAACTGTAAAAGATTTCTGATTTCATCTTCTATTCTTTACAGGAAAGAAAGGAAAAAAGTGGGAAGTGAGTTCACAAGCATGTTGGATTTCTCTTTATCCTTGACCTTTTAAAACTTACTCAACTGCATGCATGTTTGCTCCACTCACTCACCAATTTTGATAAAGTCACTTTCTGGGTCATGCGTGACATGGCATGGGTGCACATGCATGAATCTCCCAGGTCAGTAAGTCCTGAGCTTTGTTTAATGACTTGTTTCTCCTTCTGTCTAGGTGCATATAGGTTACCTTCCCAACAAACAAGTCCTTGGGCTCAGCAAGCTTGCAAGGTAAGAAAAACAAATGCTTAAAAAATATGAGTTATTTAACTGCAGGTAACCAAAGAAAAACTAGCATGGCATGGTTAAAAGCACCGGGCATGGTTGCCATGGTTAAAAGCACTAGGCTAGAGCAGCAGGAGGTGGTGAGTTCTAATCTTGCCCTAGGCACAAAGCCAGCTGGGTGATTTTGGGAGAGTCATTTTTTTTAACCCTATGATAAAGGTAATGACAACAGCAATTCACTTCCAATGATGTTGCCAAGAAAAAGGCATGATTTTGCTTATATAGTCACCAGGAGTCTAAACTGACTTGAATGAGATAAAGATATACAGACAGAGGTAGAGATAAAGGGTAGAGATAAGGGAAATGATTCCCAGATTCAACTATATGCAAAATATTCAGCAATTTAATTCAGTTGTTCTTTAGGTTCCAGTAAGGTGGTCTCACCAGAAGAGAGGGGGAAGGGTTATAATCTAAAAGAGAGTGAGGAGGTTTGGTGTTTTGGACCACCAATGGCTGAAGAGGATTGACACAGATGTTAAAAAAACCCCAAATCAAATTGGGTTTGGGGTAAAGAGATGTAATTGTGGGGATTTTAGATTTCAGTTCTATTAGAATTGTGAATTGAGGGCCAGTATCTTTTAAGGCCTCACGTGGGAAAACCCAAGCCTCATGTTTGATTCCCAAGATTGGAAATAAACTGCAGGTGGGTCCATTGCTGTTTTACCCTGGAGAGGAGGAATCTCCTCACCACAGAGAGAAGCTTTAGGAGGAGAGGCAGAAAATCCTTGATTAGCACCTAGTTGAGGAAGAAGCCTGGGGAGGGGGGGAGGTGAAGAGAGGTAAGTAAGAATAATTTCATTCTTAAACTCCTTGTCAAAATGGGCCTTGGTTCCATTTAATTTTACAAAATGCCTCCAATATGCTACGTGATACTGATGTGTCTTCAGGCCAATGGGAATCTATCTATATACAATATCTGTCTAGATCAGGGGTGTCAAACCTGATTTCATTGAGGGCCATATCAGGGTTGTGTTTGACCTCGGGGGGGGGGGGGGGTTTGGGGGGGAAAGGGGGGGGGGGCCAGCTCAACCTCACTTATGTCGGGGGCTCCTGTGGTGGCCCAAGCGCTCTGCCAGCAAAAACAGGCTCCTGAGCTCCATCTTTGGATGCAATGGCCTCCTGCAAATCTCTGCCAGGAAAAATGGAGCTAGAGAAGGCCACCTGCAATCCTCCTGAGCTACATTTTCGCTGGCAGAGGCACCGCGGGCCGGTCCTTTGCTGTTTCAGGGCGGCTCCACGGGCCAGATCTAAGCACCCTGTGGGCCAGATCTGGCTCCTGGGCCATGAGTTTGACACCCCTGGTCTAGATAGCCCATGCCAGTAAATAGAAATTATCTAAGTAATAACCATTAAGGAGTCAGTTTGATGCAGTGGTTGAAGACCTCAGGCTAGAAAGTTGAGGCTGTGAGTTTGCCTTATACATACAATCAACTGAGTGATTTTGGGCCAATTACAATGATTTCATATCAGAGGGGGTTCACATTTGAGGTACCAGAGTTTTATGAAAATTCTTGGGAGAGTGACTTGTTTAAAGCCTTGGAAATGGTAGAAATAGAGCTTTAACCTGTCAATCCAAGCTCTGATGTTTAACTTTGTCGGGGGTAAATCAGCTCTAGCTTTGGCTAGTTTGGTAATGAAACATCTGCAAGGAAGCCACCAAGCTCAGAGAGCACTAAGGACCCCACAGCCCAGCTGAATTGGTCCAGATATCTAATATCTAAACTAACCATGACTTCTTCACCTCCTTGCTAAATATGCCATGATTAACTCAAGCAGGAAAAGTTCTAATTAAAAACATTCTCCATGCTTGTTTATCAGTTTATAAAAAATAAGAAACTACTTTATGCCAATTCATACTACCTAATCCAATGTTGATAACACTGAATTACAGAAATTCTTGGGCATTTCAGAGATGATTTTAGCTTCTCTGTTTAGACAGAGAAATTGTTTATAAAAGTAGGTGGTCAGGTTTGGCATGAGAGTAAAAATAAGATAATTCTTACAGAAAAGTACAAGATCATGCTTCTTAGCATCCAGATGATAAGCATGGAAGGCATTTTTTAAATACTAAATCCTCCATTCACAGTTTAGTCTGACGAAATTTGTTTCCTCTCTACAATGACCTTCTGTTTTAATCATCTCAGTTAAATTTGACCATATGTGCTTCATGGTATCCTGCAGGGATCAAGAACTATACAAGCGTAAGCAGTTATGATTCAGTTTTTTGGAAGTATTTATCTGTCTCATAAATATCACATACCCAGTAGCTTGGAGGCAAAAACTACATTTTAATCGGAAGAATGGCCATTTTATTGGAAAATTAACTTCCCTAATGTACTTAACTACAAGACCTATTTTCTTTCCACAACTATGATAGTTGGGTTGAGATGGAGTGATTGGTTCAAGGTCATACAGTGAGGTTTTGTGGCTGAAAGTAAACTACAATTTGGTCTCTTTGCTCGTAGTCCAACTTCTTAATCACAACTCCAACTGGTGCGTGTCTTAGAGACAAGTTGCAGATCCACCATTGTGGAGTGAGCAGTTTGTACACCTAGGTGGGTGATCCAGGGATGATCCACCCATTTGCTACCGTACAATTGCAAGAAACTTGGCAAGGGATATTGCAGTTCCTTTTTGCTGGTTGTGCATCTTCCATCTCCTCTTATAAGAAAGAAGAAAAAGCGGCAGATTTAAGGACAATCTCAGATTCCTTTTTCTCCCTGGACTCTTTTAGCCATTCTAAAAGAGGCTAATCGATCTTATTTTCCCCTATCCTTGTACACACACACACACACATTTTTCATTAATAAGAAAAACAGAGATCTCCCCATGACCATCTCATCATCCCATCTATTTTGAACCCTGATTTAATGTTCAAGACAGATTCCTTGAGGGTGACAGTTTTTGACTCTTGAATAACAAGTTCTGGACATCGTAGATGCTGCAAAAAGCAAGCACTTACTGCCGCTTCACTAAATGAATACGTCCTCAACGTATGACCATGATATAGTATAGAAAGAATGAGCTAAATTTATCACCATATTGTTAAGATGAACTTGGACTATATTGGCTGATCCAGCCAGGCTGCCTCATTAAGCAATAAGGTTTTAAGTGAGTGGCACCTGATTTTACAACCGTTTTATTTTGCCACTGTTAAGCAAATCACACAGTTGTTAAACAAATCCAGCTAATCCCATGGGCTTTGCTTGTTGGTAACCCTTGGGAAGGTTGGAAGTGGCGATCATGTGACCCCAGAATGTTGCAACCATTGTAAATACCTGCTTGTGGCCAACCACCTGAATGTTGACCATGGGATCTGTTGAAGATCTGCTGCTTCTTGCATCAATGGAAACCTTCTGGCACTCTGACATTTGTGACTCGCTTGCCTCACATCTATTGACTTACACAAGGGCTGCTTGTGTAATAATTGGCGTCCTTTATCTGCCTGCGTTAGTAAATGTTGAAAATATTACATGGTGCCTCATCCATCTTAATTTGTTTTTCATCTGGGGAGATTTATTTGAAATCTGTTACCAGCCTTTTGTTTTGGATAGCTTTGGCAGGACAAATCAATGGATTAGTATTGCTAGGGTGCCCCCCAAATTACCTCTAAATTGTAGCAGCCGAGTAAGGATTTCCATGTTGATTTGTCATTCACATCCGATGATTTTCTTTCTGTCTGTGAATCACGGCAAGCATTGTTTCCTTTCCCTGCTTACAAATCAATGCATTACTGAAGTTAATGGTAAAGGAAGTTGAATATCTGTGAGGAGCTGCTTCTTATCTTGTATCAGTGGAGGAGGCTAGACGTTTGCATATAAAGAAAGTTTGTACTTATTCTATTGCCAAAAAGGTAGAAACTTTATCTCTAGACGGAGAAGATAAGATTTGTGTACAATTTGCATTTAGAAACCTTTTTCTTTGATTTCATTAGCAATATATCTAACCAAACTGAGAAAAACAGTGTTGAAATAATTTTGCACCTTGTGCTCAGTCTTCAGGCTAGGGGTTGTGACCCATTGATAGGCATTTTTGTTAACTTTTCTTATATATTGAGGACTGTCTTGTATAAAGTTAGACAGAGGGCCACCCCGATTTTGTCACTTTTCAGATTTCGTTAACTGTTATTAATGATTATGCGTCAACAGCTTTTTGGAAGAATGTGCTTTTTCTTGCGGAGATGAAACTCAAGAATGAAATACAAGAGTTGAAGAGTATAAGTTATAGAATAAGAATAGGCCAGAAAGTGACACTGCGTGTGAAGGAAGTGCACATACTGTAGGTATTGAGGTCCTGTAGTATTTCAACAGGAACAAAAGTTAAGCGCTTCATTAATCCAGGGCATAAAATAAATGGGTAGGGATTTTATTGAGCTGACATACATGTGAAAGGCATCTGAGTAACTTCGCAGATCATAAGCATTACACCAGCTAATAGTATGACCCAGCTGCGAAAGAAGCAGAAGCAACACTAGGCTACGTCAACACAAATAATATCAAGATGAAGAGAAGTTATTATTTTTATCTATTCGGTATTGGTAAGTTTGCCTCTAGAATATTGTATTCAGTTCTGGACACTTTATTTTAGAAAGGATATTGATAAACTAATGTGTCCAGAGGACAGCAACTAAGATGATAAGAAAAGCTTATAAGAAAAGCTTATGGGAATTTTTGGAAGCATCGAGTATAGTTAGCTCAAGAGAAGGGAAGATTGGAGAGAGCTATGATATCCATAATAGGTATCTTACTAACATCTAAAGGGCTGTAGAAAGCAGGGCAGAATTATTCTGAGAAGTTTCTACCACCAAGCAACTGGAAACCTAGAGCAAAGCAGTTGTCTCCCCACACTTAGTTGTTAAGAACTGTTCTTTGAATAGCCTTGTTTTGCTAGATGGGCAAGTAAGCTAGAAGAGATTGCTCTGGAAGCAAACTTGGCTAACCCACTAAGGAGCACTTCTTATTATGGCTGTTGGCCAAACATAATCTCCCAGATCAAGAAAGCCAATTGCATCTACTGTATTTCACAGGTGACCTGAAGCATGACCTTAATTCTTCTATTACAAGAATCAGGCTTATGTCTGGGAGTGTCACACCCTGCGTTGAGACTTACATGGCCAGTTCTGCAATTCTATCTCAGGATACTTTATTACTAGTGCTAAAATTTCTCATGACAACAATAGTGTAGTTTGCAGGTCTTGAAAAGAAGAGTGAACATTAACATAAAACAACAGCATCTTGCCCATTCCATTTGTTTAAACTGTAACAATGAAAAGTATTGTTTATTTTCATATCCTCCTGTTTTTTGGGTGACCCCAGGATCTTTCTGTGCCTGGTTGCCAACAGGCAAATGCAGGCTGGATTCTGGCGGATCAAAGAGGCTGAATTGGTGGCCTCTCAGAGATTTCCATCTTAAGAAGTACATTTCAAAACTACAGGGCCAGAACATCTACTGAACAGTATAATAGAGCAGAGTAGGGGGGCTCATCCTGTGTTGCTAAACCCTGCAAATCCCAGGAAGTGATACAGCAATGAAAAAAGATGTTAGAAAAGTGGAGGGTTACATCTCTGTGTTAAAATGCACTGTTGAAGACCAGGCATTCGCTAACTCAAAATGTTGATAAGTTACCTAAAATTGAGTAAATTTGTTTCTTTCCCCTTTGGCTAATGATACACAAATCCATACCCATCACAAGAGGCACTTTTAAATTGACTTAAAGATTGCTGTGAATGCTAAAATATATTCAAAAAACTTCCCAGATATTTCTATTAAGAAAATTGATGAAATTGCCAATAGTAATTTGTACAAATGACATAAAGATCACCCAGTGATACTGTTTTTATAATACAGAGTGTCATCTAATCACAACCATTCGTACGGTATCCATTTGAAGTTCCAACAGTGCTGAAAGAAAGGATCTGCAACTGGTCCTCAAAGTTCACTAAATGTGGTTTTGGGTAATAAAGGAAAATATTTGGAAGTACTGTCCTAGGTTTATCATTAATTTGTTTCCAGAGTAATCTTAATGGAATTTATTTTTTTTCCTTCTAGGATTGTGGAAATATACAGTAGACGATTACAAGGCAAGTGACAATCTTTTGTGCCTCACCTAATGAAATGTATGTTTTGCCATTCTAATAGAATTTGCCATGCAATATCAAAGGGCTATTAATCAGCTGTGGCGATTAAAAAAAGAAGGCATTGATTTGTGTTGTCAACAATTTATTACCGGTACAGTATATCCCACTACACAGGAAGTTCCGTAGTCATGGAATTTGTTCATTCATTAGTTCATTCATTCATTCAGCTACTCATCTCAGGAAGTTACTTTGGACAGCAAACAATACCAAAGAGAATAAAAGCCATGCAGGATATCTGCATGTTCATCAGTGAGAAGCATTCTATCCTAGCTTCTAAATAAGCTAAATTTCTACATGGAACAATTTGTAAATATACATTATCTACAGAAATATATATTTTGACTTGATAATACGGCCAGCCAATAAATATATTCCCCTCATTTCATAATATATAATGTATAATTAATGTATAATGTATAATTATACAAGCAGAGTAAATATTGATGGAGAGACCTGAATGGATTTGACAAATCTGTTGCCCAACCTTTCACCACAAGGTGGCGTTGCATCCTCCAGGATTTTTTCTGCTTTACTTTGGGGGGGGGAGGGGCTGTCTCCAGATGTAGGTAGTTGCTTAACAACTGTTTGACGTTATGACAGACCTGGAACAGATGCTTTATGGCTGGTAAAGCACACCCTGGCTATTGTAAGATGTGCCACCACCATCCACCCAATCACGTGACCACATTTCGGTTGCTTGGCAACTGGTTCATCTTTATAACTGGTTGCAGTGTCCCATGGTCACCTGACAACGATGGTCTATGATTGCAAATCCTGTTCCAGTTGTAAGTCGAGGACCATCTGGGCTGTGGTATTCCGTATACCGAGGTCAGCACCTGCTTTTAAAAGGAGTAAGTGGGAAAGAGTTGATTCTTCTCTGGACTCTTGACAGGCTTCCTTCCATTAAGCAGACTTCCAGCACTTTCTTCACCAGTTGACTTTGTGGCCCATGAAAATATGATTAAAACTGACGATTTTTAATGAGTTGTGGCTTTAAGAAATTCTCTCCTGAACAGGATATTCATTTTTCTCTCCCCCTCCCCTTTTCATTGCAGTTCAGGAGCGCCTTACAAAACAAATTGCTGTTGCCATCACAGAAGCCTTGCAGCCTGCTGGAGTTGGGGTGGTGATTGAGGCAACGTAAGTTGACGCAAAATTTGTACTGTGTCCAAAGAGTCAGGGAATTGAAGGGAGGGGAGGGAGAGAAGGACTGTATGGTAAGAAACGAGCGGGAGGGGAAGAGAGAGGGGGNGCCCCAATTATGGGAGGAAGCTAACTGCTTCCATTCTCTGTCCATCGGCTCGTCACAAGAGACCATCCAGACAGAAAGCTCAATATTTTTACTGTGTATGTTTGTATGTATGTATGTATGTATAATGTTGATGTTTAATTTTTAATACTTACCAGCTAATTAGAGAGCCTTTCCCCTTGTTTTTTGCTAAACCAACTAGTAATTTCTCTGGAGTCTACACAGTGATTTTATACTGGTGCTCTTTAATTGGGGCTTCAATTCCCAAATTCCTTAGTAATTTGGGGAGTTCAGACCCTGGACATGAAGAGCCATGGATTAGAGAAGTGTATCATGGTCTGAGATTAACCCTTTCAACATCATTTTCCCCAGACCCAGCCTGCAAAGAAGCTATAGAAATAAGTTTAATCAGGATTCTAGTTTTATTCTTGTGTTAAATAGATCAAAATTGTTATACTCTTTACTGGATAGAATGGAAAACATATACCAAGCCCAAATGTCTTCAGTTTTTTAGCCCTAAGATTTCCTATTAGCCATGAGAAGCATAGAAAATGGGAGTTAGTCTCTCAAACTTGCAGGGTATTAGATATGGGAAAATTGGAGCAATATGACCTTTTGCCCCTGACTTAAAACCAGCCAAAATTGCTCTGTTGCTCCCTAATTCCTGGACGGTTAATTGTAGCTGTAGATATCCATGAATCTTTATTCTTATATATGACCAGTGTTTTGAGCAAACTGAAATCCTTTGTAGCCAGATGGAGGGACTGATCAGGCTTGGCCCTAAGCTATTAGCGAGCATCATTTGTTATCCAGGGCTGCAGAATTAAAGGGCCACATCATATAGCAGATAGGGCAAAAGCAATAGTATTGTTGTGCCCCACCAGCGGCCAGCAGAGCTGGCAGCAGAGTCAGGACAGTGAGGAGGTTGGGGAAGAGCATGTGCCTGTCCTGGAAGTTGGGGAAAGCTTGGAGAAGAGCTCTCCGCCAGATGCAGAGATGGGGCCAAGGCTGTCTGGCAGTGATCAGGTGCCTACGGAACTAGACAGCAGTGAGGCAGAGGAACAGCTAGAGCCTGTTCCCAGTGGGTGCGTGTTCAGAGTTCTCAGAAATCAGGGTAGACTTGGGAATAAAGTCACAGGTGGAAGGTGATTGCCCCCCCCCAGGAAATAAAAGAGGAGCGAAAGGGGAATGGGCTTTTGCAGGAAATAATCCATTCATTCGGTTGTTAGATTCATTTCAGGAGTGTGAAGATCTGTCCATGAATCTCAGAGACTCTGTCCCTAGTTTTTCCTTGCACAGCACCTCATTTGGAAAATATTTTCATGGCAGCTTTCCAAGATAGATAAGGTCCGTAGTCATAAATATTTCTTTGAACGACTGTTTGCCAGGCCTTGCTGAATGTGAATGAGAGGAATTCACATTCNAAGAGTGAGTTGTTGTCTTGGGAGAAGAACAGCTGTCAGGAAACGAGAAGTTCCTGTTACTTTTCCATTTTACTTGAAGTGAGCAAATTCACATTCTCCCTTTCTTTTAGTTCGTTTGGGAGGACTGCTTCCCAGTTTTCAAAAGCAGCAAAATGCTGCACTTTAAAAACTCCAAAGCAGTGTCAATATTAATCTCCTCAAACAAGGCAGCCTGGCTTTGCTGAGCTACCTAATACTCTTGAAATTACACCTCTCACCTTCTTTGTTCAGCTTTATTGAATCCAGACATGAACTCAAATGTTGACCTTTAATTCTGGCAGGAGCCCATGTTTTTGTAGCAGATGATTCCAGCCACTGGTATCCGAATGATGCTTAGGATCTCCCGGCCTTGAGCATTGTAACAGTCTTATGGTTTGTTTATTTTTTCATTTAAGAAAATATATATGACCACCCAACTCACGCTCGGTGACTCCTGGCAGGGAAAAAAACCTCAATACAGGCAATCCTTGAGTTATAGCCATTCATTTTGTGACCGCTCAAAGTTACGACGGCATTGAAAAAAAGTGACTGCTGATTATTTTTCACACTTTTGACCATTACAGCATATCCCGTGGTCATGTGATTAAAATTTTAGATGCTTGGCAACTGGCATGTATTTATGACGGTTGCAGTGTCCTGGGGTCATGTGATCATCTTTTGTGATCTTCTAACAAGCAAAGTCAATGGGGAAGCCGGATTCACTTAACAACCAGGTTGCTAATCTAACAAGTGCAGAGATTCACTTAACAACTGTGGCAAGAAAGTTTGTAAAACCGGGCAAAACTCAAAAATTGTCATGTTTGGCCACAGAAATTTTGGGCTCAGTTGTGGTTGTAAATCAAGGACTACCTGTATAACCAAAGAATCAGCCATGGGGAGGGAGTGGGGCGGTGTGTGTTTGTATAGGGGGTGTGGAAATGGAACACTGGTGTAAGGTGAGATTAACTCTTTATCTTCGGTGCCATTTTAGTCATTGAAATTGCTCCATTATCATTAATATTTCTATGCTTGGAGGGGGGAACACGCCAAATTTTATAGCAGGAGTCCTCAATCCCTGGTCCGCAGACTGGTACTGGTCTACAACCTGCCAGGAACCAGGCCACGTAAGCAAGCTAAGCCGCATCTGGGCATGTGCAGGATGTAGGCAGCACACAAAACTTGTCCCCGTTCCCCCCCCCCCCCCCGCCAGTCCACATAAAAACTCGCCACCACAGAACCGGTCCCTGGTTGGGGGGCTGCTGCTGTATAGCATATTACCCAATTGGTTCCTCCAAATACTTTTTTCACCAGGGCAAACAGCTTTCGAAAAAGGATGAATTTAAAGTAGAAACCGACCTTGATAAATGCATTAGCTCCATTTCCAGCACAGCAGCTCTTAATTTTCTGCAGATGTTCCTTCTCTGACACTCTTATTAGAGCTTAAAAAGGGAAGAGGAACATCAATGACATGTCATAACTAGTTCATAAATTTTAATCTGAGTTGCTTCAGGACCTCATTATGAATGTCTGCAAAGGCTGGAAATGCAACCTGCCTCCTCTTTTGGGTTATCTGGTGAATGTGAGATTTTGCATTCAAGCAGATTTCAGGATGAAAGCAGCCGGGTGCCTCTCATTTGCTGATCTGCAACCATAAAGCACGTTGTCATCCATAATTCAGTATGGAGCAAATAATATTTTTCACTAGATTTATGTTCTGCCATTTTTCCAGGATTTCAGAGGATTGCCCTTCCAATGTTTCACCACCGTAATGATCCTGTTTTGATTGGATTGAGGTTCACCCAATGAGCTTTCATGGTTGACTATGGACTTTCACTCAGGATTACTCTAATCTTCTACATGCTTCTCATAATAGCCATGCTAGCCATTTGGGTATCTGTTGTGGCCCAGCAGGAGCCGTTGGAGCTGCCACAAGACTCCGACAGCGAGGGGCCCTATGAGTCGGCTCTGGAGGATGTGGAGGACCCTGGACAG